TTTTTTTTTTTTCCTTTTTTTTTTTTTTCTTTTTTTTGGCCTTTTGACTAAGAAGATCAACCGTAGTAAGTATCGGTCCTGGGGCGAGGTCCCACTAGCAAAGCGGGGATTGGATCAAGGGGTCTGAATCTGGATGGGGTTTTATGCAGAGATGCAGAAAAGCAGATCAATCATCAATCGCCATTCTTAGCACCTAGTAGTGGATCGGCAGCAGCGAGTATAGCTACACGTCTTCATTGGTGCCAGCTAATGCACGTCCATTAGTTGTTTTTTCAGCTAATTAATTAGTCATTAGACTCATTACCGTTTTTTTTAAGGGCTTTTTTTTTTTTTTTTTTTTTTTTTTTTTTTTTTTTTTTTAATGCAAAGTTCGTCCGCGTTCGGCATATTCGCTGTCTAGCATTCTCAGAGAGATGCAAATGTATATTGTATGCGCAAACGCTCACAGTGACATGCATTATTAAACCACCAATAGCAGTCCAGTACCTTTCCCCGCTTGAAAAACAAAAAAAATACGCAGTTTGTATACTGCCACAACTTTCCGGGGCAGACCGCCGTTGACAAAAAAATACGCAGTTTGTATACTGCCACAACTTTCCGGGGCAGACCGCCGTTGACAAATTTCATCGGCGGCCTGTGTTGCGAAAGTCGCGGTGAGGCGCCCGTGGCCGATGTATTGGAAAGGTACTGGTGGGTTAAACTTTAAACCTAGGCTAGCAGAGTGGGCCGGGGCCACTTGCCTGGCCAGGCCAAAAAAAAAAAAAAAGGAAGAAAAAGGTAAAGAATTTTGGTGCGACCCTGAGGCAACAGTTGTTCAGTTTAGTTTTTTTCTGCATAACATAGTTTTTTTTTTTCAAAACATGGCATTCCGGGTCCTTCGGATGAACAGGGCTACCGGGACCACAATGGCCGGCGCTGCCAGCCAACCAAAAAAAAGAGAAAACGCCGTGCTGGCGCTGCGGCAAAGCTTGGTGTGCAGTTTCTTTCCTGCCTCAGCAAAAAGAGGCATAGAGGTGGTGGTGGTTTAAAGTTTTAAAGTATTAAAGTTTTAAAGTTTAAAGTTTTAAAAGTTTAAAGTTTAAACCAAACAGTTCACAAGAACCGGGGTAGTGCCCTTACCGCTATGCAAGGTAAGAGGGAGGACTCTCTGAAAAGGCACAGTGGCAGGCTAGGGAGCCTTTTGGAAGGCAGCTTCGTAAACTTAGCCTCGGGCGAACGGGGGGTTTATGTCACCACCAGTACGTTTCCCGGCTATAAAATCAAAATCGCGTCGTGCATGCTGGTGCGACTCTCCAGAAGTACCGGGCCACCGCTTCGCAGCACATCCATCTTTTCCCCGTAAACTTAGGCTTGGACCCCACTGCTCGGCGGTTGGAAAACATGTTCGGCCGCGAAAAACGGCCAACGCCGTCTGGAAAACCATTTCCAGAAAAAGTCGAGACCCCACCGCCACGGTCTTGCCGGCCTCTTGGAAAATGACTTCCATTCCCGAAATGGAAATATGGGAAGGTCGCCTCCCGAAATGGAAAGTGTGGTGAACCAAGTGGTCCAGCTCCGTGAACCAGCGGCAGAAGTGCGGGACGCCGTGGTCGCACCGCGACCGACATGCCGTGGAACTGTGTGGCACTGTCCCCTCTGGCATACGGTGCCCTGAGTGTGAAACTAGCCATTGAGGAGGCTCCCGGCGGCGTTTTCAAATTCATTTTCGATGAAATGCGGCCCGTTATTCAGAAGTGACACCTGCATAGTCGAGAGCGCCGTGGTGATGTGACCACTTCCGAGGGCATTCGGGAACTGCGTCCATTCGCTCCATATCCGCGGAGGAGAGGTGTGCTTGTGTGGGAGGCGTGTGCCGGCCCGTCGTCTGGTGGTTTGCAAACTGCTGGCAATAGAGGAGATGGACAGTCCGGTTCCATCTGCAAGTTCTTCACAGGAGCGGGAAGGCATGCTCTTCTTCTTGGTTTTCGCCATAACCCAGTGGGTGCACAGGTGCAATGCGGCGGCCATGGCCGTCCTCGAAGCTGTCGCATTCGCCCCATTCCTGTCCGGGGACGCGGCGACGTCGTTGCCGCTCCTTGCAGGCGGGGTGATGCACGGATTCGCTCTCGCCAGTTTGGCTGCGGAGGAGTTGGGAAGACGTATGGAGCGCAGACGGCGGATATGGGTCGTGGAACGAAGCGGGGGTGTGTGGAGGGATTTGCAGCGAGTTGGGCGTGAACACGACAAGGTGTTTGTCCGATTCTGCAGGCTGCCTCGCCCACTATTCTTCGAAGTGCTGGGTAGAATTGCACCCCATATCCCGCGAGCCCCAACGAACTTCCGGAATCCTATTCCTGCTGGTCAGAAGTTCGCTATGGCTCTCATTAGGTGGGTGACCGGCGGGTATTACCGGCAGACCTCGCATGGCATGGGCATGGGGCTTGCGAGTGCCTTGCGTTGCAATGAGGAGGTCGCAGATGCTATCATCAGCGAGTATGGCCATCTCCTTCGGTGGCCGACTGGCCCTCGAATGCAGGAAGTGGCGAACGCTTTCGAGGCGAAAGGGTTCGCCGGTTGCATCGGGGCAATTGATGGCACCCATTTGTACATCGACAAACCGAAGGGTGTGCGCGGGGAATGCTACTACCATCACACAGGACAGTTCTCTGTCGTGGCGCAGGTAGTTTGTGACCACGAGTGCAGAATCACTAGTGTTTACGTGGGGTGCCCAGGGTCTGTGCATGACTCAAGAGTTTTGCGCATTTCAGAACTGTTCCGTCAGGTCTCGCAAGGGGCAGGTGTCTTCAGCGAGGGAGATGCTCACCTGCACGACGGCAGACACGTGGGACGGTATGTGCTTGGTGATCAAGGTTACCCTCTCCTGCCATGGATCATGACACCTGTCGGGAGGACGGCTACAACAGCTCAGGAACGAACCTACGACAGCTGTCACTCATCGGTGCGGTCTTGCATCGAGCGCCGCTTCGGCCGACTGAAGGCCGTGTGGAGGAATTTCATCCGACCGCACATCAGCAACATGAAAACCATTTGCAAGGAAGTGATGGCAATCTGCATCCTCCACAACCTGATGATCGAGCACAGGGTGGATTTTGACCCTGGTGTGCTCGATAGTAGTAGCGACAGCGATGGTGATGGCGGTCATCGCAGACGCCGTCGTCGACGGAGAGATGGTCGCCGTTTCGTTCGTCACATGCCCAACCTCAACGTCGAGCCCATGGTGGACGATGACCCTACAAACGGGTCCGCGCTAGGGGAGTTGGTTCGCAGGAGTCTGATCGAGCATGTGGACCACCACGTGGCGGTTCATGGTGCGCCACCGCCATGTCCGTGGCGATAGTTGACGACGTGGATAACATACCACGTTGGATTTTGGGATAGCGGCAGGGAGTGGCAGCAGGAGTGGGTCCGGGGTCGGGTCAGATTGGTGGAGTTCATAGGGTTCCGGGGTTGTGTGCGAGATTGTCATAATTTCAGTCAAATTCAGTGATGGACAAAAACATTTTCACGTGCATTCTCTCTCTCTCTCTCTCTCTCTCTCTCTCTCTCTCTCTCTCTCTCTCTCTCTCTCTCTCTCTCAATATAAATATATATAAATCTATAATCAAATATATAGACGTGTACAAGAATGAAAACATATAATATGTGTTTGTGTGTACACCCATGCACAAAACTGGCACAAGGATCGCACAAAAAAGAGAAATTCAATTCCACCTTCATGACCCCCCTGTCAAATGGTGTGACACAAGGATCACTCAAGAAGAGAAAAAGAAACGAAATGGATGACATATACCCCGAAGGAGATGAGAGACAAGATTCAAAATTCAAATCCATTTAAAGGACCGCATTTATAAAAGTGGCACATGTGCAGCATTCATTAACACAACCTCGATCACTGCAATTGACATTGGCGAGAACTTGCATGTCACTGTCCCGATTGCGATGCACACTCTGCACGGACGCTGTCCATGGACTCCATACCAGAATGAAGCGCCGATGATGATGTCGGCGGTGGTTAGGACGTGGATGATGATTGTGTCGACAAAGATGATGAAGACGAGTTCAACGACGGCGGCGATGATGATGGTGATGACGAAGTATCGTCATCATCATCATCATCGTCGCCATCATATAACTCGTCATCATCATCATCGTCAACACCATCATCTCCCAGGTCCTAACCACCGCCGACATCATCACTGGCGGTTCGTTTCGCCATGGACTCGCCCGATGGATCCCACTGCTTACATGACACGTCCCCCAAAAAAAGACACATGTAATCCCCAACGGAATTCAAAATTGTAACAAACGGCCATAACTGGCGGTTCGTTTCGCCATGGACTCGCCCGAGTGTCTGCCCGTTTGCTGGGCCACAACATCGAAACAGGCATTGATTGCTTCCTTAAAAGGAAGGATTGACCTGCTTCGGCACTCCACACTCATTGTGCCTCGAACCTTCTCTCCCAAACACTATGGCGAAACAGCGACTGTTTAACCTATGCCGGAACCGCAATTCACGGAACGACCCTAACGACAGCGAAAAAAAACCAGCAATCAAATGTCGCCACCGCACTCACATCGCCACACATCACCGGCGGTTAACGTCCAAGGCGATCACCATTTACGGACACGAAGGTCATCCTCAGGTCCCCATATATCCACCAGCCCGTGCAAGTACCCCCTGCCCTCCAAAGGGGGGTCGAAGATGGTGTCGTACCAAGGCGTTTCGTCCATGCGGTTCTCAAACTCTTCGGCGATGGCGGACACAAGGTACTTGATGGTGTCCCCCACCTCGTCCCGATGGGGACCTTCCCATCTGTTTGGCACCAGCTCATGCCTCTTCGTCACAAACAGGAGGACGTGGCTCAAAGCGCCATCACCGACATACCCCAATCCAGCCGTGATGTCCATCGCATGGACATCGTTGACGCGCACTTCATACAGACGGGTGTCGTGACGTGTGACACCGTTATAGAAAACCATGTCACGCCCATGACGCCCGTTGCGTTTGTCTGGGAGCTCCGCGATGATCACGTCACGGCCGCAGACCCACTTCCAGACTACAACAACAGGAGCCATCCTCTCTCTCGCTCTCTCTCTCTCTCTCTCTCTCTCTCTCTCTCTCTCTCTCTCTCTCTCTCTCTCTCTCTCTCTCTCTCTCTCTCACCCGCGACACACACTGAACTGCGCACACACCAAACGGTTTCGCCGAGATGATGAAGACGACCGCAGAACAAACGTCGACAGAATGGCGAAAAAAAAAGACGCACCCGCAGCACAGCAATGCGATCACGTTCCAGCACAGGTGCTCCCCGCGTGCGATGTTATATACATCACCCCGCCCTGGCTTCATGATCTCCCCAGCAGTGTGTGTGTGTGTGTGGCAGTGGACAACCCCTCCCCAAGAGCAGGTGCACACATCGATTCCGCCCGATGACCGGTGCACATACCGATTCACATAGATATATATATATCATCGGGATGATGGGTCCGTGTCCCCGCCGCTGAAGCTGCCCCCCCCCCCCCCCCCCCCCCGCAGGGCAAGTACGCCCACCTATAGTTCCAGCACAAAATTTCCCCCTCTCATTGCATCGACTACATCACCTTTTCTCGCTGATATTGTCGTGCCTACTCCTGTAGTCGCTCTCGCCAGGGCGGCCGCCGCATTGTCAAGGCCCTGACAATACGATCTCGTTGAGTCTTCCATTACTTTGCTCAAGGACGATCCGGCTGAGCCGCCTTCATGAACCCTTGCTTTGCCGGTCCCTGTTCTGCGTGCCTTGCTTGAGCTGTCCGACTCTTCCGTCCCCGTTGCGTCGGATCCGACTGTCGGTGATGGTTCCTGTCGTTTCCCCGGGAGTGACTCCGATGCCATCGTGTTGTCGCACTGGATGGATGGTCGATCAAGTTTCCACGTCATCGCGTCCCACAACGCCTTCTCGAAAGACAGCGGCAGTCTCCTCTCTCTCCGCTGCTCAATTGTTATGTCAAAATACGATGGCTCCCCCGACTTCTTCTGTTGCTTGTCGAGGATGAGCTTCGCCGTTGTCATCATGTTGGTCCACTTCTTCCGGCAATCCTCTGCTGTCCTGTGCATGTACCCGGCTTCCTTCATCCGTGCGACCACCCATGCGTACCGATCCTTCATTGACATCATGCGCTGTTGGCCGTTGGCGTCCGCCATGATGACGTCATCCTCTTGCATCATCCTCGCGAGATGGATCCTCTCGTCCAACGTCCACGGCACCTTTGGTTTCGGGTTGGTGGTCGGAGGCCGCCCACCACGACGCTTCTGCTGATTACCCTTCGCCGCATTCACATCCTCGCCTGGACGCCCTTGAATCCCCTCCTCCACACGACGACCACCATCTTCATTGTTCATCTCCCCCGGCTGCGTGGAAGTGTCGTCGTCGTCGTCTCCTTCATCTACCCCGTAACTGGACCCACCCGTGTCATCATGCCATGTGCCCTCACCATTGCCAACTCCTCCAGGCGTCCAACCGGTTGTATCCGCCGACACTTCACCGTTGTCATCGCCGTCGACGTCTATCATGGACGCCTACTGATCGCTCGAAGTGCGTCTGCATGACGAGGGGGAAGGGATGGACTTGCCCCCAAATGTCGGCTGAGTACTTTGCCCCAACGTCCACCGACTGCTTTTCCCACACGGAGGCGACCATGGCGGCTCCGCTCCACAGCCATACCCACCAATGCCACCATCCATGGCCTGAGATGCAGGGAACACCTGACCGGAAATGCCAAACGCCGTTCGGCCGGGCATGGATTGCAAACCCGGCGGTGCATACCCGCCAGCAAGCTGCTCGCTGAACGAAGCGTTAGCGACGTACCCTGCCCCGGTTGGCATCGTCTGTGGTGCAAGGCGTAAAGGGAATCGCGGACGTGCAATCATGGACTGCATGCGCGGCATCGACATCCCGGGTCCCGAAGGAGCTCCCATGGCCTGCCCCTGCATTCCGTCGACGGCTCCCCTGTGGAACGGTAGCATACTTGGGGATGGGGAGGCACTATATGCGACACCTGCATGCTGTCTAGGATCTGCCACCTGAAAACCGCCATCCCCACCGGCGTTCGGATCCGCCCTCCACCTCGACGAATCCATCACGGCGCAAGACGTGCGAAAGATCCGATCTTTCCCCCACCCCAAAGAGTGACAGGCCCTTGGCACACCTGTCTGTTGCTACGCACACAGCGTGAACACGGCCAACAACAGTACCACTCCACACAGAATCACCGCCAACAACACCGCTGCAGCCAAGGCGAAGAAGAACAACAGCACCACCAAAGACGCATTCACACGATAACACAGCCTGCCGCTGTCATCCACCCCGTTCGTTACGAAGATGTAAACAGGACGGCAGTAGCAGCACTGATGATGATCGACCGTCGACCGTGTTCGAAGATCACGCACTCCCACTTCGCCACTGTACGGCAACGGGCCATGCACGTATTCACGTGCATTCACACCGTCCACAACGACTCTCTCCGTCATGCCAGAGCGGTTGTGCGAAGATCGACCATGCGGAGGTGGGTTTGAAGAACGAGCAACCACCGTGCCGATCCCGGACAAGCGTGGAAGGAGCACCCCTGCAGCGAACGACGACGAAGGCCGAACCGCCAGATAGGAATGCGCACTGCAAACTCGTGTGGGCAGGAGCCCTTGCCTCCGTGATGGTGCTGGACATGCACGCGCCCAACTTCGACCCGTGTCGTGGACATAACGACGACGACAACATCCCAGAGCACCCCCTTCAGACAACTGCCTCCAACCACGCACACACGCCTCACGGCTGCTCCTCGCTACACGAAGAACCGCCGACATTGTTAATGGCCGACTGTGTATGAAGTCGACGATGGCCGGCCCGCACTACGCATGCCCCAGCATTGCATGGATGCTCGACGTACGCACTCCGCGAATTTGAATTTCCTGCCTCCCCACAATAAAAGAAGGAAAAAAAAAAAAAAAAAAAAGGAAAAAACAACCCATGCGAAGCGGACGACAACACCCATGCGGAACGCCCCGCTCCCACAGCCCAACCCAATTCGAATTTTGTGTTCGTTGCAAATTCGGCACACGGGACCGCAAGCCCCCGCGCAACGGAACGGTCCCACACCCGAACGGTGCGATGCACCACTGTTGTCCGTGGTTTGAAGAAACGGTCCACCCCATCGTGCACTGGACCAGGCCGCCCGTGCCCTGGTACGGCATCTTTAGGGATGCCCCCCCCCCGTCTCAAAAAACATTGGTTTTGGAAAACAGTCGCCGGACGGTCTGACAGTTTTTTCCAGCCGCCGACCATGTGGAAACGCTTCCGACGGTTTTCCACGACACTCCGGCATTGGCAGTGGGGTCCCGAATTCGCATTGGCACACCTTCCTGGCGGTCCAGTGGGGTCCCGTAAACATGGAAATGGAAAATGACTTCCACGCCGCCGGCCAGTGGGGTCCAAGCCTTAGCCTCGTGCGAACGGGGGGTTTATGCCACCACCAGTACGTTTCCCGGCTATAAAATCAAAATCGCATCGTGCATGCTGGCGCGACTCTCCGGAAGCACCGGGGCACCATTTCGCAGCACATCCATCTTTTCCTGGCTATAAAATCAAAGTCGTGTCGTGCATGCTGGCGTGACTCTCGGGAAGTACCGGGGCACCGTTTTGCAGCACGTCCATCCCGGCAAAACCGGTCGGTACTTCCCGAGAGTCTCACCAGCATGCACGCCCCGACTTTGATTCTATACCACACCATGCGCACCGCGACTTTGATTTTATACCACAGCAGTGTGCACGCCGCGACTTTGATTTTATACCACACCTGCATGCGCGCCGCGACTTTGATTTCATACCGTGGCAGCATGCATGCCGCGGCTTTGATCTCTCTCATAGCAGCGAGCCTTGGAAGGTAGCTTCGTCGACTTAGGGTCAGATCCCACTAGCCCCTGTTGTTCATTTTTGACCGTCGATTACGAAGATCAACGGTCAGAAATGAATAATAGGGGCTAGTGGGATCTGGCCCTTAGAGTTGATTCAACCTAATGTGGTTTAAGCCACCACCAGTACGTTTGACAGCTATAAAGTCAGAGTCGGGGCGTGCATGCTGGCGCAACTCTCGGGAAGTACCAGGGTGCCATTTCGCAGCACATCCATCTTGTGCATGCTGGCGCGACTCTCGGGAAGTGCCGGGG